AACCCTCATTAAAACCATGAAAATTCTTAAATCTACCTTAAAAAATTGCTTAATTTTCAATGTAAACGCTAACATTCAATGTCCTTTAAGTGCAGAAGACATTCCTAAATAAATGTTCAATGAAATGAGAATTATAACTAATAACAATTACCAATTTGTAATCTTACATAACAACAAACGATTATTATACAATTTTTCAATGTAAATACACACAAAAAAAGAAGTGGATAATTGGAAACCAATCGTGTGCATTGAAAACCCTCATTAAAACCATGAAAATTTTTAAATCTACCTTAAAAAATTGCTTAATTTTGAATGTAAACGCTAACATTCAATGTCCTTTAAGTGCAGAAAACAATTCCTAAATAAATGTTCAATGAAATGAGAATTATAACTAATAACAATAACCAATTTGTAATCTTACATAACAACACACGATTATTATACAATTTTTCAATGTAAATACACACAAAAAAAAAGTGGATAATTGGAAACCAATCGTGTGCATTGAAAACCCTCATTAAAACCATGAAAATTCTTAAATCTACCTTAAAAAATTGCTTAATTTTGAATGTAAACGCTAACATTCAATGTCCTTTAAGTGCAGAAGACAATTCCTAGATAAATGTTCAATGAAATGAGAATTATAACTAATAACAATTGCCAATTTGTAATCTTACATAACAACACACGATTATTATACAATTTTTCAATGTAAATATACACACAAAAAAAAGTGGATAATTGGAAACCAATCGTGTGCATTGAAAACCCTCATTAAAACCATGAAATTTCGCTCATTGCAAACTGGATAATTAATAAGTTGAATGAAGCAACGAACGCTTTTGAAGGTAAATAATTCACCATGTCCAAGACAAACGACTAATTGTGACAGCTGTCCGGAATTTGTTCCAGTTTTTTTCTTCTTTTCTTTCATATTTACTTCTCTTTCCAAGTTAATCGCATTGTTGTTTAATAAATCCTTCGAAAACACACAAGACAAAGAAAACTTCCAAGGATCGCCGATTGCAAAATCGCATTCCTCGTGAGAAACCAACACGTCGTCTCGTCGTCGGTGGTTCTCTTCAGCGAGGACGATCGCCCAGGAAGTGATTGCGGCAATCACTCCCCAGGATATCGGTTATGAGCTGCAAAAAAAGAGGACTATAAAAGTACCGTTTCCTCTTGAAGCTGCCGGTGCGTGAAGCAAATAAATCCTTTTATGCGGAATTAAAACTGGGAGGGCTGTGTTTCTATTCTTTTATTTGTTTTGTTCGTTTGTTTTACTATTATTATTGCGCGCCGACCAACAAACAAACGCGGAGCCCCGCATTCGTTGCAATCTCTTTGCCTTTCGTTTCCACTCTGCATTTCCATCCTGCACGCACGCCACACACACACAGATTTTATATTGCATCGCAGATGCTGATTTATTTCCTTTCCGCGAGAACATGGACTTATAGCGAACGTGAATCCAATAGACATCCACCACCTTTAGAGATTTCATTGTCTATTACACAATTGCAAGTATAGATACATTTCTGTGCTCTTATCCGTTTTGCTGTAATACGCGTTCAAAGTTGAAAAATTGAAATAATAACGTTCGAAAAAGCAGTGTTTTCACACTTCATTAATTTACTCGAAAACTATAATAGATAGAATGAATCGAATATATGCATATGAAAGCTGAATGTTTGGGGAATCTAGGAAGTATCGATATATTACTGTGGATTTATCCGTTTGGCTGTAATACGCGTTCAAAGTTGAAAAATTTAAATGAGAACGTTCGAAAAATACGCGTTCCTTTTATGAAATGGAGGGTTGGGGGAGGCGCCAAATGATTACATACTTTTGAGGGAGGCGTAGTAACATCAAGTTTGGAAACCACTGCTTTAGACGGTAAATATTTATGTTATGTTTTGGTATATTGCTTTCCATTGCTTTCGTTTTAATTAAGGTTCCATAGGGACCACTGAAGATGGCGCCACTCGATTTTCAAATATGCGTGGGCACGCCACCACACAGCGTCTTTGGTTTCATAGTATTTATAACTGATGGTGCCATCTGTTGAGATGAAAACCTTGAAACTTCTTTTGTTTTTTTTTTGAATTGGTTTGAGGTTATGTCGGTTTGTTTACATCTATATTTTTTTAAATTCTTTGTTTGTTTTTTCTCGACAGTTGTTGCGGCAGATCAGAAGAAATGTTTAAATTGCCCTTTTGTTCGGTCGAGGGTCAAAGTGCATGAGATGGAGTGGGAGAGACTCAGGCAAGTCCAAACGTCATGTTGACACTTGCGTCAGGACAGATAAGATTGGCTCCGACCGTGGTTGTTCAAATGATTCATAATTGTTGGAGTGGTTGATAATCGTCCGATTACGCCGAAATGTGCGAGGAGAGAAGAGCAGGGAGGAAAGGTCACATAATCACGACACAATAACGAGTGTAGTTGTCATCGTCGTCGTCGTAGTAGTATTAAGTATAAACAAAAGAATAATAATTATTGTATTATGGCACAGTGGTAAATTGATTGATTAGTTGCGAGGAGAGGGTACGATGGATGGTAAAGTGGACTTGAAGACTTGCGGTGTGTGCGGCGATAAGGCGCTCGGATACAACTTCAATGCTGTGACCTGTGAGAGCTGCAAGGCGTTCTTCCGCAGGAACGCCTTGGCAAACAAAAACTTCAAGTGTCCTTTCAACTCGAAATGTGAGGTGACTACAGTGACGCGTAGGTTCTGCCAGAGGTGCAGATTGGAGAAGTGCTTTGCCATTGGGATGAGGAAGGATTACATTATGAGTGATGAGGATAAAGAACTGAAGAGGCAAAAGGTGGAGCAGAACAAGGCGATCAAAAGAGGCACGAGCGGCGGTTTTAAGCAAAGCTTCAAACGGATGAGGAGGGATGATGGTGGCGACGAAGATGCCATCAATTACAGCACGCAACCGAAGGTGGACGATTGCAGTGATTATTCGTCGCCGGAGACGTCACCCGACGACTCGATGATCCGAAACATACTCAGCCCAAAGCAATTCGACGAGAACAACCCTCTGCTGAATTACATTTCTATCAACAATAACGAGCAGAATTGCAATAACAACGCGACGTCTAGGAAACAGGTGGCGACGGATTCGACGAAGGACATATTGGAGGAAGTGCAAAGGTTCTCTATTTTCGTGTGCGTTTTTTTTTTGTTGTTATATCTCAAGTGGGTATTGTTTGTTTTAGGATACCGATAGAAGCGAATTCGATAGAGTCGATCCTGTGCGAGGCAATAAAACTGGAATACGAGGCGTACTCGTCACTCGCTCAGAGTCACAGCAGTTCGAGGGAACTGAACGACGCGGAAAGAGCGAAACTGAACGAGTTGATCGTTGCGAATAAGGCACTCCTGACACCAGTCGACGATGATCTTTCCAATATGATTGCCGAGGATTGCGGACTGAAGATGCTGCAAGTCCGAACTGCTAATTACCTTCACTTAGATGTTAGATGTTCTAAATTGGGCTTTCGTTTTGCAGTCGAAATCGGAGCAGGCGTTGCTCTCCGATCCTGCCCTAGTCGATGTGATCAATCTGACTGCAGTCGCGATACGGAGGTTGATCAAAATGGCAAAGAAGATCAACGCTTTTAAGAACATGTGCCAGGAGGATCAGGTGGCTCTGCTGAAAGGTGGATGCACGGAGATGATGATACTGCGGAGCGCCATGAACTACGACTCCAGCAAACAGACCTGGCGGATACCGCACATCAAGGAGAGTTTAAGCAGCGTCAAAGCGGACGTCCTCAAGCAGGCCAAAGGAAACATATACCAGGAACACGAACGATTTATAAGGACGTTCGACCCGAGGTGGCGGTCGGACGAGAACATCGTGCTCATCCTCTGCGCCATCACTCTCTTCACCCCGGATCGACCCAGAGTCATACATCAGGACGTAATCAAATTGGAACAGGTAACGTACACTTGTATAATATATATTCTCAGAAATGTTTGATGTTTTCATTCGAAATTATAATGATTACGTGACATTTTCAGAATTCGTACTACTATTTGCTGCGGCGATACCTGGAGAGCGTGTATCCGGGATGCGAAGCAAAATCGACGTTCCTGAAGCTCATCCAGAAGATATCGGAACTACACAAAGTTAACGAGGAGGTTATAAACTGTTACCTGGGCGTGAACCCGTCTGAGGTGGAGCCTCTGCTCATAGAAATCTTCGATCTCAAACACTGACGATGGATGGATGGATGGGATGGAGGAGCGGGCGAAGTCTTTTGTTATATGTAGGTATACTCCTTCTTCATCGTGTTCGTTACGTATCGTAAAAGTAGCTCTGGCCGCGAGGACGTTTGCGCACACCGTTGTTGTCCTTGCGGCCGAGGATCGGACTGGAGCCGCTGCCCATGTTCCTGATGAGATTCTTCAGACTCTTCGCCTGACTGTCGCTCGACGAACTCTCCTGCGCGATGATGTAGAAGTCGTCCAGCAGGTGCTGGGGCGGGTCGATGTGACAGGGCGTGGTCGCGGCACCGCCACCTCCATCCTCCGCTCCGCTCGCCGTCAACCCCTCGATCTGCTTCCTCAGCGCCTGATTGGTCTGATCAAGGTTCCTTATCCGGTTGGCGTCCTCCTCGAAGCGCATCAGGGTAGGCGTCGGCATATACTAAACAAATCACAGAAAGAAACTTTTTTTATATAAATATATATTTACTGTTATTAAAAACCAAAACAAAGACACGTTTCTCGACACGATCCCTCCCACTATCAACACATAACATTACCTGAAATATTGAAGCCAGAAAGTTATTCAGAGACACCAACAGCGTATCCTGCCATTGTTTGGTGAAATGCAGAGAGAAAGTTGGATTCTCCTCTGGGTTTTTAATGTAAGGAAGCACTGCGAATATTCACAAAGTTAAAAAATTTGCAAAGCAACAACAACCAAACTCACTGAACCATTCCTTCCATTCGCTCTGATTCTGCAACTCCGGTGTAAGCTTGGTGAAGAACTCTGTGACCTTTTCTGGTTTATTGTTGACCACTGCATTCACCAGATACATCTTCAACACTCCATTCTCCAACTTCTTGACACCTGCAACACAAACATATATTTAAATAATATCCTAACTAACAATTTGATTTGTTCACCTGATGTGAAGTGGCTCTCCAGTTTCGCGAACATGTGCGTGTCCAGATGATTCCAGAGATCCTTCAGCGAGTTCAGGTCGTATATACCGATGAAATGCCATAGTTGATCGATGATTTTGTCCGCTCTGAAACTCTTCTCCCTGTCCCCCTTCAAGTCCGCCTCGAACGATTTAACCGTTGACCCGAAACCTCTGAACAGAAGATATTCCCTGATTATCTCGTCGAGGAATTGTACGTGCGCCATATCCTCAGCTATTTGTTGTTCGACTTGAAACACACAGACAAATCTAGACAGCTGATTGGTATTTTTTTTATTGATTATTCCACGCAGGCAACTTTGAGTACTTCCCAGTTGCTTTGGTCACCTAAGTATCAATATTCAAATCGATTCGATATCTTGCTGTATTTACTAAGTATAGTAGGAATTAACTTTTTTTTTAATATCAAAGCAAGTTAGTTAAGTTTTTGTAAAATAATAACTACTACTGAATATAATTTATATTGCAATAATTAAAGTTTAGTGGATGAATTTGCAATTAAAGTTGCGGTTATTAATAATGTTGGTAGAAATTGTATTTGTAGGAAACAAGTACGTCCATCTTCTTGCAGAGTTGCAAATGTGAATGGAATTTGATTGCGTTCAGGACTTCAGATGATGGCTTCAAGATATGATGAAGAATTTGAATAGTTTTGGTGGTTTTGGTTTTAAGTTGTTGGCATCGTCGACCGACTTCATGTTGGATGCACTTTTCGCTGTTGGTGGCGGCCATCAAAGCGCGCATCAACGCAGTCTTCTGTCTTTCTCCAAACGCTGAACATCATTCACCGTGCGAACATGGCTAACATCTCGAAAGACGAACTCCGCAAGGAAATTGCTGGTAAGTAGAGTATATATGTAGTGAGAATCTTGCGAATATGAACGGTAATACGTTGTATTTAATTCTTGATTTATGATGAAGGCGACGTTTCGTCCTCTGACATCGAAAACAACGGATTTTTCAACCCCCTTCATTTTTTTTCTTTTTTTTGCAACGGCTTTGCGCGGCCTCCGCTTTATATCCATACATACATACATACATAGATATACACAAGCATAGAGAGACACACACAAACTCACACCGATATGCACACACATACAAACAATGGCCATGGGGACGCTCCGCTTATACCGCCATGTATTTCGAGCGCCATATTAACGTTTCCGGAAATATCTCTGCAGATACGGCTCTGATCGCAAAAACCGGCCGACAAAGTCGATTTACAATAATATTTGCGATTTTCGTAGGCCCTTATCTACCGCCGCCCGCCCCCGCATCGCGAATTTCCCTGTTTGCAAATCGAATAATCATCATCGTCAACTCTCTCTCGCACACACACACACACACACCGTCCATCCGTTCGCCGGCGATTGACGTTACTACGAGAGAAAAAAAAACAAAATCTACCAAGCGACTGCTGCGATCTTCGCACATTGTGTATCATTCTTCTACATTTATTTATATTTATAATATTCCCATTTTTTCTTCTTCTGCTTTCGCATTTTCTACCTGAAATCCTCTCATCCTCTCTTTCCCCCTTTGATTTTCCGTTCGAGGAACGGCGGAAGGAGAGACAGAGAAGGAGACCCTTGCCATTTCGTGTTTCGCAACTTTACGGCGCCGGCGTTGCTTTCAAAAGAGCACGCGTCGCGTCTCCTTCGACCATCAACAACAAACATCATCTCTCATCATCATCATCATCCAGCACCCTTTTACATTGTTTATAACCATTTGTAATGCATCCACATACCGGTTGATCGACCCTTCCTCTTATACCTCTCTCACAAACGCTTAAGCTTAAACAAAGAAGTAAACAAGCCATTTCGTCGCATCGCAGAAAATTATCGGAAGCTTCCCAACGGAAAATTACTTCATTTTCATAATAATTTCCATCCCTAAATGATTCATTACTCATCACAAATGCATTTAATGTAACCATGACAACCGAGTTAACAGCTTGTTTTGTTAATATTTAGTGTTTGATTCTATTATTATTATTTACTTCAAATCTTTGTTGTTTTGCTTGAATTGAAAAACGGGCGAAACGAACGTTGTTTGTAAATAACGGAATTATTCAATGTATGTATTATTGAGTCAATCAAAGCAATTTGCGTTTTTAATTTTTTTTGCAAGTGTTATATTGTTGACATCCTCCGCATCGTCGGATCAAATTCGTTCGTTTTCGACTACTTCGAATGGGGAAAACAAAACATGTAACCATAGCAACCGCATCTGGCAGCATTACAGATGCGCGCACATGGTTTTTCCCCGTTGTTTTCATGATTTTCGTAATTCAGTTGGCAAACGTTTGAGCTTTCTTTCGTTTTACGTTTTCATAAAAGAAAAGTGGTTGTTGGACAAATATTTGTAAGCTGTTGCTGCAATCAATATTAAATATTTACTTTATTACTGTTTGTTAATAACTCGAGTAAATAATAATTGTGTATTAATAATAATCGTAAAAATGATAGGTTTACTCTTTTTGTTGGACTTTATTTTAATGTTGTTGTTTTTTTTGTTCTTGTTTAGCTATATTGAAGGGAGCCGATTTGGCATCGACTTCTGCCAAGAATGTGAGGCAGGAATTGGAGGAGAAACTGGAGTGCAACCTGCAGTCACGCAGGAAGGAGATTGACGAACTCGTGATGGAATTCGTGAGTGGCAAGGACAAGAAGAAGGCCGGAAGCAAGAAGGTGTCCGACGACGAGGAAGAAGAAGAGGAGGAGGAGGACGAAGAGGAAGAAGAAGAGTCCGAGGAGGAGAAGAAACCGGCGAAGAGAGGAGCAGCCGGTAAGAAGCCTGTCGCGAAGAAGGCCAAGAAGGCCTCCGACGATTCCGACGCAAGCGAACCATCGGACGCCGAGTCCGAGGAGGAATACTCTCCTAAAAAGACAAAGCCCATCAAGACACGCAAGTTGCCGCCCAAGAAGAAGAAGGGTTCCGAATCCGACTCTGACGAGGATTGGGCGAAGACGAAGAAGACGACAGGTAAGAAGGGAGGCGGCGGCGCTGGAAAGGGCAAGGGTTACACCAAGTCGATGACGCTCTCACCGGAGTTGGCGGCCCTCGTCGGGCAAGAGTCCATGGCACGTCACGAGGTCGTCAAGAAGGTGTGGTCCATCATCAAGGAGCGCGAGCTCTACGATCCCAACAACAAGCAGTTCGCCATCTGCGACGACGCCCTCCTCAAAGTCATAGGCATTAAGCGTTTCCGCATATTCGGCATGATGAAATACTTGAAGAATCACTTCCTGAGTTAAATTATACCTTCTCTCCTTTCCAACCCCAAAACAAAAAAGAAAATACGTCTCTACTTCTCTTCTCCTCCTCCCTTCTTCAAACATTTCTCTCACACACACACACACACAACATACACATCTTTTTCTCGGGAGTTGCATTCATCAACTCACCTGAAAACAACAACAACAACAAACAGAAATTATTCAATAACATTCATCAATCAAATTACAAGAAGTGCAAGGTGGCTGGCCGAGCGCCCTTTATTAATTAACTAATAATAATCATTATTTTCTTCAACCTTTAACCCACCAACAACCCCCATCCCCAATAATGTTTACGAATAATTTTTATATTATTTTAAGAGGACTTATCGTTTAGACTGAGTTTAGTTTGTAAGTGAACGGAATAGAGAGAGATAGAGAAACGAGAAGACGAGAGAGAGAGAAAGAGAGAAAAGCCCGGCCACCTTTTGCACCAAATTTTCCTCCTAAAAGTCCTACAAATCATTGCACGATTGTTTTGTAGACACGATCGTGTTTATTACTGTTCGTCCCTGATTTTTGACTAATTATATTTTTCCAATTTGTTTCGGAAGTATTGACTTTTCTATATGATTTTTTTTTCGTATTTGTGTGTATTATTACTATTATTATTATATTATTGTCGGCGGCGGAAAAATCCACCTTCAATCCTCTAACCCCCGACCCTCCCCCAGTAAAAGAAAAAAAAACTCCCGAAACTTACAACTTTTTTTTTTCCATTACAATGTATATGTCTGGATGTTCTAAGAAGAAAAAAAAAAAACCCTAATTGAAACGGGAAAAAAAATAATATGAAATTTCTAAATGTAAAATTTTAATGTATTTACGATATAGCGAAAAACATTTAATCAATAAATTAAGTATTATTTAGAAATCTAACAGTTATTATATCGTCTCCCTTTCTAACGGTTTTTCTTCCCCTTACCCCAATCATCATATTGTGTGCGTGTGTTCAGGTCTGAAAGTTCTGTACAATTCTACTTCAACCCCTCGCTCTATTGTGCCATGAAATTTGTGCACCCGTCAATTGTATTGTATTTTAATATGGGAGGGAAATATCTTGTTTCTCTAACGACGAAACGGAGGACACATTTCTATTGCATTTAGTGATGATAGAACGAGATTTTCAAAAGTAAATTAATAATTGTAAAACTTACAAAAAGATGGACACACCAATTACTTTAATATAATATTTCGTTTAGTACGATGTGTTGCATACATTTATACAACGATCAATGCTTTCCAGTACAGCTCTGCACAAGTAAACATAGATTTCTGCAAAATAATTATGAAACAAACACAAGCAGTTTGATTTCTATATTTTATCTAATCAGAACTATAGTAAAAGTTTAAAATGCACAACTTTATATTGAAGTATATTGTGATTGATGAAAGCTATTAGTTGGTACTCATTTTAGATGATTGATGAAGAAGCGCCATCTATTGTTTTACAAAGTCATTGTGTAGGGCTGAAGGGAGCTTCTGAGATGAGGTTTGGTGATGGTTGATAGACACTAGATGTCGCCCCACGTTCAGGAAGTTTCACTTCCTCGGATGATTGGATGCGCTTCTTGTTTACGATTTAGCCGAAATGTGATTTCAGCTGCGGAGATGTCGTTCGACGAGTTTCCGATCCGCGACAAAGAAGAAGTCGATGGATGAGGTGTATGTGTGTGTGTGCTAAAGGAATGATGAAGAGTTGGAGGAGGGTGGGATGAGCCATGGAAGATTACGGGGGGCGGCGGCGGTGGTCATCGGCTAGAAAGGAAGTAAAGAAGTAGAAGATCTTAGGATACACTGAAAGACTGTGTGTGTGAGAGAAAGAGCGAAAGAGCAACAAAAAAAAAATGACGAATGCGCAACGCGCGGCGGACCGGTTTATTGGTTGGTTCTTCTCCTCGTTTAGAGGTTGGGACAAGTTTTTAGTGAATGCAGTTTTGCTGCCATGCAACTAAAACGATTTCGTCGTTGTACCATGACCCGATTTCGACGAGTGCACCGCGTACTAACCTTGCTGAAAACATCCATCCCGGGTGGCGGCGGCGGTGGTGGTAGTCGGGGTGAAGAGGAAGCCGCCGCCTCCTCCTCCACCACCTCTTCCTTGCGAAGCAACCCCATACCACCACCACCACCATCGAAACACGAAAAAAATAAAGAGGGGGTTTTCGGGGGGTCATGTTGGTAGTCACGCGACGCCTACGCTCGCGGGCATCGCGACGCTCCCTCACGCAAATCCGCTTCTTGCTTGTTTTGCGCGTTCGCCCAACATTCTCAACCCTCTCAAACTCACCCACGCCACCCCCGAAAAAAAAACTGCAGCCACCCCCGTCCCACCGCCGTCCCCCCTAACCGATCCGATTTTTTCTCTACCCTTCCTTCGTTTGTTTCGCCGCTTCCCACTACTACTACATGCGCTGACGCAAAACCTTCCCATTTTTTTTTTCGTTTGTTTTTGTTATTTCTCTCTCTCTCTCATTTTTCCGCCGCCCCCTAGATTTTATTTCCGTCTTGTTTTTCGTTCCGCGCACTTTTCTCCCTCTCTCTCTCTCACCCCATTTCGTTGATGGATCTTGGGGAATTCGGGGGGCGGCTATTGATTTTTCGGCCGGGCGCAATTTTATCGTGCGTCGTTGTTTTTCCCTTCTCCACCCTCCACCCCATTTTTTTGTCCTGTTTGCTTTTGTTTTGTTCCATTTTCCTACGTTTCCTTCCAACGCCACCTCCGCCTCAATCTCTCTCTCTCTCACTCACTCCTTTCCACCCCACTTTTTTTTTGTCGTATGCACTAACATATATATATATATATATATATACATTAGCCGAAGGGCGAAAGAAAAACTGGGCGTTGGTTTTAAGATGCAGTTTAGACGACGTCGGCGTCGCCTCGTTACCATGACTACCCTCACTGATTGATAGGACACATATGTCCCCCCACATCTCATTCCACCATCACCGCCACCTACACTTCAAAACGAAACTCTTATAATAATAATAATAATAGAAAGAGAGAAAGAGAATGAAAAGCATATAGAGAAAAAAGGAACAAACAAGTATTTTTTAGTTTTAATTTGTTTACAAAGATGGTGGTGCTTATGCAACATCTTTCACAAAACAAATTAACAAAAGTATAAAAAGCCATCATCTACTAATTAGTAATTAAAGGAATTGAACAAATTTTTTTTGTTGGGTAAATGCCGAAAATATGAAAGATGGCTATAATTGTTGGTGAGAAGAGCATCTTGAAATTACGCAAGGAGTGCTTGTGGGACAGACGGAGAGGCGACAGTCGGAGGTGGAGGCTCGCGGCCCCTTGACCCACTGCAAAAGATATTTTTAATGAGATAACTAAATATAGAAACCTTGGGTCGGCCAACAGCCACCGACGACGACGTCTTCATCATCGCCACCGCCGCCGCCGCCTCCCAGAATTCGTATAAAACAAGTGTCCTCTGATCATCGTGCTCATGATCATCTGCAGAAGGAAGGAAGGAACGCCGCGCAGACTGAGCAAGCCGAACCGAGATCGTAATTTGCGATGTTTTACTGCGCTCGTAAATGCTCCGGCTTGTTGATACTCCACTTCACCTTTAATGCGGTTTCTCCCGACGATTATTACGTACATTTTGTCCGCATTCATCGTAAGAAACAAACCGACAGCTGAAAAAAACAAAACTATACAATATATATATATAAAAGTTAATCTAATTAAGCCTTAATACTATATAATTGCAGTAATACAACCATCATATGAGTGAATCGAAGTTGAACAAGTTGAACGATGTGTAAAATCGAATAGAAAATGCGAACGTAATTTCGTCAGTTCATTGACTCGGTCGTCGCGCGGCGCGTAATTAGCGTGCTTAGCAGGCGTGCAAAACAAAAATACAGATAAATAGATAGAAGAGAAACAAAAGGAATGAATGAGAATTGCGACCGATTAATTGTAAGAGGAATAATAATAATCCGTTCCTCTTTCCATTAATTCCGGTGCGTTTTGCATTTCATTACCGAAGAAGATATTGTTTCAAGAAGATTGTTTCCCAGTGCGTTTAAACGCCGAAGGGAAAACAAAAGTATAAGATGTGAAAGAGACAGAGAGAGAGGTGGACGCATTTCCCACGCGCGTTTTTCATTTCGTTCCGCGCGAAAATCGGGGAAAATGGAAATGATGGATGGTTCTTGAGAGAGCTGTTGGATAGGTCCGGGACGGGCGTGTTGAAGAGTGTTCACAGAGGAAGAAGAGAGATGGAGCAACACTGACTGACTGACTGAAGGTGTGAGAGAAAGAGAGCGAGAGAAGAAGGCCGAAGTCGTCAATCAAGATCGAGCGAAGTTGGGGTAGAAATGGTGGGCCCGATGTTAGCTGTACGAATAGTATAGATGGCTCTACAGACGTTGTTGGCTAAGGTCAGTAACCGAAACAGAGACGGGGAGAACGCGATTCGCACAGGAACAACAGAAACGAAATCATATTATACACACACACACGCAAGTGGCACACCACGTGAAAAAAAAGAAAAAAAAGAGAAGGAAAGAAGAGGAGAGGAGAGGAATACACGGAAAAAAGTGCGCGCTCGACGGAAAGGGAAAAAGGCACGCACGAACACGAACACAAAGATTCGCAGAATAACGAAATCATCCACTCTTTTCTTTTCTTTCTTTCTTTCCTTCCTTTGCAAGAGCATGATGCATGTATGTGTTTCTGTCGAAAATAACGGAGATTTTTTTTTACTCACACACCTCTCTCTCTCTCTCCAGTTTAGATCATCAAAGCTTGCTTCCGAAACGCATTCGATCGTAATATATCCTAGTCATACCTTCATCCGATAATAATAGGTTGCATACAATCGGTCATAATTCGTAGACGCCATCTATTAATGTCAATCGCACTACAACAATTGGAAATCTAAAACAAAATTTAAAGGATTCGAAAACTAAAATTACTTTAATTAGATTGAACAAGTATGAAAATAATGGACAATAATGGAATAAAACTTACGATTATTTGACAAGTCATTGACCTTGCGTTGCGGAGATCGCCGATAGCTGGCGCAAGATGGAAACGGAGAAGACAGGTGCGAAAATCTATGGGAACGACAGGTGTTTTCGTTTGTTGATTTTCCATAGGGGTGGTCGACGAGGTGAAGAGCGCTGAGGAGGAAGAGGAGGGTTCGTCGACACACGTTTCTTCTTATTCTCTTGCTTGCATTAAATTTTCGATCAGGAACATAACTATTTTTTTTCCTGCAAAAAGAAACAACGAAAACAGATTTATTTTTATCTAATATTACGTTTTCGATGTTAACGTATCTTATTGGAGATTACAAAGAAAGAGAGAGAGGATACGCACAGGCATTAATTAAGATTGTAGATTCGGGCAAAGAACGAACAAACTAAAGAACGAGAGAGGAGCGGAGAAGAGTTAGAGCCGCACATGTCCCGCAGCTTGCTGGGATGTCTTCCATAGGATTGCAACAAGAATAACGAAGTATATATATATGTGTGTATGGACGCATACGCAGAAGGAGAGAAAGAGTAAGGTAGTAATGGAAGAAAGAGGACGAGAGGGAGAAAGAGAGAGAGGGAGCAGGTGTTCGCGAAAAGGCGGACGGGAGGAAGAAATAACTAGCCTTCTTCTCTTCTCCTCTGTTGCTGCTGCTGCTGAAAACAACAACAAAAACAAAAGCAAAAAAAACAGGAGAATATCGAGCAGCACCTGCTAAATAAATGAAATTATCGAGAGCACCTGAGGTAAATGATTCCGCTTTCAATATTATCGTTAAAAATTGACTCGAAACTTGAATCGTACATTTATAAAAAAAATCATGATGATTGATATTATTGTAATATCAATGCGAGTGAATCGCAAATTTGGTGATTGATTGATTGATTAAACAACGTTTGTATAAACTGCAACTTTCATGTCGCTTCCGTATTAAAAGTTGCATAAAATTGTGCGCAAATGGTCACCAATCTACGATGACCATAAATATGCAAATTAACGTTATATTATATTACCACGATTATTAATGTCTTTAAGAGACTAATCGAATATAAAGCTAGACATTTTAATTAAGTAATAGAAACGAAAAAATAAAACAAGTTCAAGGCATTACTGGTATGGTGTGTGCATAAATTTGGTGATTGATTGATTAAACAACGTTTGTAAAAACTGAAACTTTCATGTCGCTTCCGTATTAAAAATTGCATAAAATTGTGCGCAAATGGTCACCAATCTACGATGACCATAAATATGCAAATTAACGTTACATTATATTACCACGATTACTAATGTCTTTAAGAGACTAATCGAATATAAAGCGAGACATTTTAATTAAATAATACAAACGAAAAAAATAAAAGAAGTTCAAGGCATTACTGGTATGGTGTGTGCATAAATTTGGTGATTGATTGATTAAACAACGTTTGTATAAACTGCAACTTTCATGTTGCTTCCGTATTAAAAGTTGCATAAAATTGTGCTCAAATGGTCACCAATCTACGATGACCATAAATATGCAAATTAACGTTATATTATATTACCACGATTATTAATGTCTTTAAGAGACTAATGGAGACATTTTAATTAAGTAATAGAAACGAAAAAATAAAAAAAGTTCAAGGCATTACTGGTATGGTGTGTGCATAAATTTAGTGATTGATTGATTAATTAAACAACGTTTGTATAAACTGCAACTTTCATGTCGCCTCCGTATTAAAAGTTGCATAAAATTGTGCGCAAATGGTCACCAATCTACGATGACCATAAATATGCAAATTAACGTTACATTATATTACCACGATTATTAATGTATTTAAGAGACTAATCGAATATAAAGCGAGACATTTTAATTAAGTAATAGAAACGAAAAATAAAAACAAGTTCAAGGCATTACTGGTATGGTGTGTGCATAAATTTGGTGATTGATTGATTGATTAAACAACGTTTGTATAAACTGCAACTTTCATGTCGCTTCAGTATTAAAAGTTGCATAAAATTGTGCGCAAATGGTCACCAATCTACGATGACCATAAATATGCAAATTAACATTAAATTATATTACCACGGTTACTAATGTCTTTAAGAGACTAATGGAATATAAAGCGAGACATTTTAATTAAGTAATAGAAACGAAAAAATAAAAGAAGTTCAAGGCATTACTGGTATAGTGTGTGCATAAATTTGGTGATTGATTGATTAAACAACGTTTGTATAAACTGCAACTTTCATGTCGCTTACGTATTAAAATTTGCATAAAATTGTGCGCAAATGGTCACCAATCTACAATGACCATAAATATGCAAATTAACGTTACATTATATTACCACGATTATTAATGTCTTTAAGAGACTAATGGAGACATTTTAATTAAGTAATAGAAACTAAAAATAAAAGAAGTTCAAGGCATTACTGGTATGGTGTGTGCATAAATTTGGTGATTGATTGATTAATTAAACAACGTTTGTATAAACTGCAACTTTCATGTCGCTTCCGTATTAAAAGTTGCATAAAATTGTGCCCAAATGGTCACCAATCTACGATGACCATAAATATGCAAATTAACGTTATATTATATTACCACGATTAGTAATGTCTTTAAGAGACTAATGGAATATAAAGCGAGACATTTTAATTAAGTAATAGAAACGAAAAATAAAAGAAGTTCAAGGCATTACTGGTATGGTGTGTACATAAATTTGGTGATTGATTGATTGATTAAACAACGTTTGTATAAACTGAAACTTTCATGTCGCTTACGTATTAAAAGTTGCATAAAATTGTGCGCAAATGGTCACCAATCTACGATGACCATAAATATGCAAATTAACGTTATATTATATTACCACGATTACTAATGTCTTTAAGAGACTAATGGAATATAAAGCGAGACATTTTAATTAAGTAATAGAAACGAAAAATAAAAAAAGTTCAAGGCATTACTGGTATGGTGTGTGCATAAATTTGGTGATTGATTGATTGATTGATTAAATAACGTTTGTATAAACTGCAACTTTCATGTCGCTTCCGTATTAAAAGTTGCATAAAATTGTGCGCAAATGGTCACCAATCTACGATGATCATAAATATGCAAAATTATTAATGTCTTTAAGAGACTAATGGAGACATTTTAATTAAGTAATAGAAACGAAAAAATAAAAAAAGTTCAAGGCATTACTGGTATGGTGTGTGTGTATATACAGCAGTGCATGTATATTTTTCAAGCCCGATTTGAGCACTGTGCATGTAATGTATCCTAAATAGCGAGCGCGAGCTTCAGAGGTTGGAGGGTTGCAAAGAGGAGGACGGTGGGAGAGGAGGAGGAGGAGGAGGCGGCAGTAGGTTTTTAACTAAAAATAATTAGTGCATGTTTTTCCTCTTTTTCTCTCCCTTTATTAGAAAATAAAGCTAAAGGGAAAAGTGCATGTGTTGGGGTAGGTCGTGGGGGGTGGAGGGGGGGATGATGAAAGTAGAAGGGGGGG